ATTGTCTAGCATTAGCAAGGAAACATTTAACTATCTTATTGAATTTTTTAAAACAACAACAGCGACATAATGAAAGGAAGAAGTTTCACAAATAAACACGTTGTCCCTGCTTGTTTTTTGCCTGCAGTTGGTCCCCACCCCCTTTGGAAAAGTCAACAGAGTGTAATATGAAAGCTATTACTTGTCTGGTGGCTAAAAACATTAGAAGATATATCTTTCCAGAGATCTCAAATGGTAACTTGGCACATTGCTCTTAGGCAGGTTCCTCGTAATAAAGGAACGCTGTGTCAAAATTATGGGAATTTTCCAGATGGCACTTTTGTTAGAAAATAAAGGTATGTGTAGGTTTTAAGTATTTTTCTTTTCAGAGAAATGATTTGCACAAAATATTGTAAAATCTCCTCTCCTCTGCCTTCCACTCCCCTCCACCCTTCCTTTCCTTTGCCTTAAAAATGGAAACTAGAGAACAAAAGGTTTACAAGCAGAAACATATAAAATTACATCAAGGAGACGCTTTATGATGCGCATATCAGGTTTTGCACAGGCTTTTTACATGTGCGGCTTTAGCACTTTTCTGCACAGAAAATGGGGACAGAAGAGAGAAGGATTCTGTCAGCTCTGGTAGTGGGGAGGACATTATAGCTTTTCCATGGCTTTCCATGCTGACAAAGGATTGTGTATGGCCTATATTTTACCATTTCTATAATTTGGAAGGAAGCAATTTGGCTTGCTCTGTCATTTTGCCTATCCCCCGGGCTCCTTTTCAATGTTGCCCTCCAGGGCCATTCCCTGCCCCATTCCCTTTCCCTTGCAGAGTTTGCTTCCTCCCTTGCAGTGGCAGTCTCCTTCTTTCACCCTCCCTCCTCAGCACTGTCTACTTTTGGACACAGAAAAGCGCTAGTCCATATTATGAGCATTTTCCATGCCTGCGACTTGTTTGATGGCCAACTTGACAAATTGCTAAACCAACCACTATAAATATCTACCTACTCTTGCCCTACTCGGGGATGCAGTGGCTCATTGGCTAAGACACTGAGCTTGTCGATCGAAAGGTCGGCAGTTCAGCGGTTCGAATCCCTAGTGCCGTGTAACGGAGTGAGCTCCCGTTACTTGTCCCAGCTTCTGCCAACCTAGCAGTTCGAAAGCACGTAAAAAATGCAAATAGAAAAATAGGGACCACCTTTGGTGGGAAGGTAACAGCATTCCGTGCGCCTTTGGCATTTAGTCACACCGGCCACACGACCATGGATATGTCTCCGGACAGCGCTGGCATGAGCACCTCCCCCTAGAGTTGGGAACAACTAGCACATATGTCCGAGGGGAACCTTTACCTTTCCTCTTGCCCATCCCCATCTCCTCCCACATAAAGAACAGTTGTTGTTTGTTTGTCCTACTGGTAGGTGACATTTTGTGGAAGGAGAAATATTGGTAGATAACTATCACTTTCCTTTACTTGTCCCACATTAAGCAGGAAGGACAGCTCCACTCCCCAGCCTTGTGACCAAGGCTGCATAGGAACCATCAGTAAGGGCAATGCAATTTATACCATCATATTTTTCCACTGGTTGACATTTATTTATTTATTTATTTGTTTGTTTAAATTTCTATACCGCCCTTCTCCAAATAGGACTCAGGGCAGTGCACAGCCTAAGTAAAAACAAAGCATACAAAATTTAAAAAACAGTATTAAAATAATTAGATATTCTGGCCGTAAATTAAAACAACCCAATTTAAAACCAATTTAAAATTTAGCTCAAGCCAGCCCAGCTAGTTGAAATAAATAAGTTTTCAGGGCCCGACGAAAAATCCGGAGGTCTGTTATTATACGTAACTCCGGGGGAAGGTTATTCCAGAGGGTGGGCGCCGTCACAGAGAAGGCTCTCCCCCTGGGGGTCGCCAGCCGACATTGTCTGGCGGACGGCACCCTGAGGAGGCCCACTCTGTGCGAGCGTACTGGCTGGTGGGAGGCTATTGGTGGCAGCAGGCGGTCTCGTAAGTACCCCGGCCCTAAGCCATGGAGCGCTTTAAAGGTGGTCACCAACACCTTGAAGCGCACCCGGAAGACTACCGGGAGCCAGTGCAGCTCGCGCAGGAGAGGTGTCACATGGGAGCGCCTCGTCGCCCCCATAATCCCCCACGCGGCCGCATTCTGGACCAGCTGGAGCCTCCGGGTGCACCCCAGGGGGAGCCCCATGTAGAGAGCGTTGCAGTAGTCCAGGCGGGAAGTGACTAGTGCCTGAGTGACTGTGCGTAGAGAGTCCCGATCTAGAAAGGGGCGCAACTGGCGTATCAGGCGAACCTGATAAAAAGCCCCCCTGGCCACGGCCGTCAAATGGTCTTCTAAAGACAGCTGTGCGTCCAGGAGGACATATTGGAGAGCAGTCCTTCAACATGGCCAACTAGTTGCATCCAAATATTGAAGCGTGCAATGCCATTTTAAGAGTCCATGGGATAAGACTTGAAGAAACATAAAAGAGAAGAGGAGGAGGAGCTGGACAAATAAACCTTTTGATGTCTCCAGTGCCAGACTGCTTTCAAAGTGGTTCTGAGACTTGGGGCAAGAAAAACAGTGGCATCATCCATTCCTTTGTCAAATCAGCCACAAAAACTAGTTCGGAAAAAGGTGGGGGCTGACCTATCCTATTGCTGGACAATTGTGTGCCCCTTCTCAAGGTTTTCATTGTGCAGCCTTCTTGTTTAATCTTCAGATGCTTCCATTGGTAACCTTCCCATGTTTTTCTCCCACAGATTCTTTTGTTAAAAATGAATAGTGTGAAGGGTTGAATAGCTAGAAACCCATTTGAAGAACTGTTTAAAGGCTAACTTTGAGGAATACTTAATTTATCAAACAAAATAAGATTGGAATCTGATCTAAGAAAATGCTAGGAAAAAACCACACTATTCTTAAGCAGCTTCATGTAACTCAAGTCAAATCTAGCCAAGCCAAAACAAAGGAATGTACATTCTGGAATATAAAACGATGCTAATCCTCCCCTAAAACCCATAAGTATTAATCTAGACATCATAGTTGTGCCTTTATAAGGTACCTATCTTAATTTTTAATCCAGGGGAACAGTTTATGTGAAGAATATGGTTCATAGTAAATTGGATATATTTATACTGCTTAAAAAAAAAGTAAATCTGAACATAAAATGTGCTAAGAATTAACCGGGTCTAGTTTTAGCTTTATAATAAAATTGCATGCAGCATTTGTTAAATTAGAAGTAAATAAATGAACTTGATCATCAAATTAGCTTTATTTTGGGTTTTTTTTAAAGAGAAAATATACCCTTCTGCTTTCTATCACCAATTTTATCCACTAATCTTTCTGGCAATCCACTCATCCAAGTTCACCTTGAGAACACTTCTTGGTGAATGAGGCTTATAATTCAGATGGCTGAAAATTGCATTCATGTATCTTTTTAAAGAGGCTATTTATGGCTATGCGCATTATTATTATTTATAAAACAGGCATAAATGCTATGTGTAATAAAAAATATTAGGCATTGCTTGCATATATAGGAATACAGAAGAAAAAATAAGGGAGATCATTCAGTACTTCTGAAAACATTTTTAGGTGTGGTAATAGAAAAAGTAAAACATGCTTTCAGGTAAAGAGGAAGAAAAGAAGGATGGGGGGGGCATGTTTTAATCCTGAACTCAAGTAGGAGGTTGTCATTAGAAGAATGTAGGACACAGAAAGAAAAGAAAGGTTGAGAATTGAGACACAGGAGAAGGGCATATTATATTTATACATAATTACATGTTTATATCTCTGCTTCTCACATTTCTTTTCTCTTTGATTGAACTTCACACACTGGCTTTTCAACCAGTATACAATATCCACTTATCCATCAAACCACCTTGAGGTTAAAAACATTATTCATCAACTACACTCTACAATTATGGGGTTGGTCTTTGTCTCAAAAAGGAATAACCTTTCATACAGGACCCATAATCTCAAGAATGTAGCTATGTGTAATCTATTCTTTCCTTAGAATCGATTCACATGTCTAATGAATGAGGAATCAAGAAAGTCCATTTTGGCATTAGGGCAGGGGTGAAATCTACTTACCTTCCTTACTGGTTCAGAAGTGCATGTGTCACGCACATCGTGTGCGCGCGCCGACCCCCTGCACAAGCACAAACCCTTCTGCGCATGCGCAGAGGGTAAAAAACAGGTTACTTCCTGGTTAAAACCAGGAAGTAATAACAACCGGGAGGGTGGGCGGAGCCTCAAGCTGCCATCGCTACCGGTTCTCCGAACCACCGGCTGTCATCACTACCGGATCAGCCGAACTGGGCTGAACCGGGAGCATTTCACCCCTGCATTAGGGGAAAGCTCACTCTGATACTCATAGAACTCACAATGCTGAATTAGAAGCAGGGCTTCTTCTAACCCCTTTGGCTGAGCAACCAACTACAGTCGTGATGGCGAACCTATGGCACGCGTGCCAGAGGTAGCATGCAGAGCCCTCTCTGTGGGCACATGTGCTGTCACCAGCTGGTCTTCTGGTTTCCGGCAGGTGCATGTGCGCCGGCTAGCTGGTCTTCACACGCGCCACCAGAAATCCGAAGACCAGCTGGCCAGTGGCTCTGGTCTTCAGGTTTCTGGTGCTTGTGTATGCGCATGCGTGCGCACATGCATTCCTGGTTTGGGCACTTGGTGCCGAAAAGATTTGTCAACTACAGTGTTTTCAGGAGTGAAGAATAAGACAGAATTGGAGACAGTTATATGGTGGGTATGGCCACAAAAAGTCCATCAGGAAAAAGAATACTCTGCACCAGAGAAGATAATGATTGCCTTTCCTATTCAAGATCACTAGGAACTTTGCATTACATGGTAGCAAAAGCTTCACCACAGAGGCCTTTTGGCATAATTTCATTTATGAAGTATGTAGGAATGCAATTATTAAAATGCACAGAAAAATCGAGAAGTTTAATAGGTATGTTCTCCATACCTGTGAAGGACAAAAAAGAAAAAGAGAGAAGAGACTCACTTGTTTCGGAAGGAATCCATAGAAACTAGCACTTCATCAATTTCTGAGTCCAGCTGTTCTTTTTCCGCATCAATAGATCGCATTTCGAGATTCAGTTTGTTCATGTACCGGTCATAGAGAAGTTTGATGTCCAAATCAGAAAGGGAATTGTCTTGTTCTTTCAAAAAGTTCCATCTTGTGATCAGAACTTGGTTGTGCTGTTCCAGACTTTGGACCTGTGGATTATTAACAGGTGGAGAAGGCTATAAGGATCTTCTTCATTCAGCTGCTGCCACAACATAAACATTGCCATATTGAAGGGATAAAAGGATATTTTGCCCTCTCCCCAAAATTATCTGTGAATAAGTAGGAATGATGTGGGGGGTGGGGAATGGAGGGGGGGGGGGGGGTGGGAAGCAACCTGATTGCAATCAGCTAAAAAACCCACATGCGGGAGGGGTTGTCTTTGTCTAAACCAGAGGTCTTCAAACTTGGCAGCTTTAAGACTTGTGGGACTTAACTCCCAGAATTCTCCAGCCAGCTGGCTGGAGAATTCTGGGAGTTGAAGTCCACAAGTCTTAAAGCTGCCAAGTTTGAAGACCTCTGGTCTAGAATTTAACCCTTTGCACATTGTCTAGACAATTATTTTCCTTCGTTTTTGCTATTCGTGACAGAAGGAAGGATTTTTTTTTTAATTTATGAAAGAGAGTGGTTGGTATGTGCAGATGAGAATCAGTTAATTTGGAAAGTTGGGTTCTTCATTTTATAAGCAAATATTTTTTAATTGACAGTTATTAATTAAATTAATATGCATTTATATTTCTGGCCTGGCCCAGCCCTTTCTGGTGTGTGTGGCTTCTGCTAGGTCTATATATCCATTTATTCACACACCCACACAAACACGTGAGTCACATGTACACATATATTAGACAAGATGTGGCGGGGGGGAGGAAATCTTCAGGATTAGTTTCGGCCAGAGACATCTGCAGTATCAGATACAGTAATCAAAATGAAAAGCAGCAGCATTAGGTGATAAAAGTTCTGCTCCTTTCATAGGTGTGCACGTACAAAAAGGGCAGAGCTGTGCACCACAACAAGACATTAATTTCATCATCTTCCCACTACCAATCCCCTTGCAGATCCTTCTAGTTTCAGCTTTTGGCAACCATCATTTGTTGATGTGAAAAAGCAGGGCATTATACAGGATTTTTTTTGGCTGTGATAATAACTATTTTCTGGTTATTCTTCCTTTGGGGACAATCTTATATTCAAGATTATTTATTTTTGGATAAGAAGAGTAGCATCCCAAATCTGCATGTTAAATTTTCCCTTTGCCATACATAACATTGCATCCAAATATTATTTATTTATTTAAATTAATGAATTAATTAAAAACATTTATATAACTGCCCATCTTTCAGACAACTCTGGGCTGCTTCCGATGAAACATAATTATTATGACATAACATAACTTAATTTAATTTATCGAATTTCTATGCTGCCCAACTCCCAAGGGACTTTGGGCGGCTTACAGCAAAAATAATACAAAAAATGAACAGAGAAAAATTATTAAAAAACATTATAAAAACATTTTAAAAACATTAAAAGCCCATGCACACCATTCATGGCTGGATCTCACAAGATTGCAACAGCGAGATCAACGGCCCCAGGCCTGCCGGAAAAGCCAGGTCTTCACCGCTTTCCGGAAGGCCGATAGGGTGGGGGTAATCCGGATCTCAGGAGGTAATTGGTTCCAGAGAGCTGGGGCAGCCACAGAGAAGGCCCTCCCCTGCGGGAATCAGTTCCCACAATTTATTTCAGTATCAACATTCTAAAAGCAACGTTCTTTGATAGATGGGTTTCTCTATAAACTAAATAGTCCCTTTTTGTACATAATTATTTTATTTGGGTCAGACATTGCTTCCATTCACATAACAATGTGCTAACAACCATTTTTTAAAAAACTCCCAAACTTTAAAAGGCCAATGGCTATTACAATGTGGGTCTTTAAAAAGCAGTTTGATAGAGAAGATAATGTGCTTCTGATTGACTTCAAGAAGCATCCTTAGGCTGAATCTCATAAGGTGGATAGTATGAATCTAAGATTTTACACCTTGGTTGTTTGGTGGACCATTTTTAGGCTACTATATGTGACAATCTTAACAAGGGGCAGCACCTGGCTAATTTTATGTTGTTTTGGAGGCTAAGCACCTTCAGATTTTAATTAGTACACGTAGTCCTTGATCTCCGGTAGTTCATTTAGTGACCATTCGAAGTTACAATGACGCTGAAAAAAAGTAACTACTTAAGACTGCTTTTCACACAACCATTGAATCATTCCCATGGTCACGTGATCAAAATTCAGATGCTTGGCAACTGACTCATATTTATGACGGTTGCAGTGTCCCGAGATCATGTGATCATCTTTTGCGACCTTCTGGCAAAAAAAGTCCATGGAGAAACCAGATTCACTTAACAACTGTGTTACTAACTTAACGGTGATCCACTTAACAACTATGGCAAGAAAGGCCATAAAATGGGGGCACAACTCACTTAAAAAATATCTTGCTTAGCAACATAAATTTTGGGCTCAATTGGGGTCATAAGTTGAGGACTACCTGTATGGACAAAGAAATAACAGGGACGTAGACAAGAGTGGGGAAATTTTTAGAAGTATCTGAAAAGAAGGCCAGGGCACATCATTTATCTACTGTGTCTAAGAAAATGGCACACTTGTTCCAGGGGTGGGTTCTACTTATCTTTACCACCGGTTCGCAACGGGATCACGCACGCTCACTTCACTCACACATGTGCCTTGCTTCTGTGCATGCGCAGATCGTTGATGATGACATCCGGGGCGGGGAGTGGAGCCTCCCGCCAGTTTTACTACAAGTTCTTGCGAACCGGTCTGAACCGGGGCAACCCACCACTGACTTGTTCCCATGTGATCCCTAGATAGTAAGCTTGATTCCCAAGCATCTTTCCCTTTACTAGTACATCAGTTTAGACTTGCAAGCAATTGTGAAACTGCAGGACAACATCTCTCACTTAAGGAGTCCACTGAATTGTCTCCTTATGAGGGCATGAGCATCAATATGGTATATTTCCTTAATACATCCTACTTGCTCAGCATACTTTTAAGAAAGGAATCGGAAAAAGACAGGGAAAGAGAAAACATATGCACACAAAAAAATCTATCTAGGTTGCAGGTTTACAGGGCAATCCAATCCACGCTTACTTGTAGATCAGAACTGATACAACTGGTGTAATCAAGCCATCTTTCTTTCTCCACCCTTCCCCAGAGGTTTAATCTATTCTTCATGAAACAGCCATCATATATTTTTGTTTTGGTGTGTGTTTGTGTGTGTGTGTGTGTGTGTGTGTGTGTGTGTGTGTGTGTATACAGGTAATCTTTTTTAGCCTTCTGATTTGTTTGCAGAGTAAATACTATGTCACCACATAAAGACTTTATGAGGGAGTCCTGAATGTTGATTACATTCCCCTGAAGAGTTCCTGCTTGTAGGCTACTGCTATATCACAATTACGCAGCTGATGTTACATCTCAAGAGCATTTATTTATATCTACAGTACATCCATGATTTCCCCAACTTAACCTTACCCCTCCATTTAGCTGCCTCTCAACACATCGTCTTACCCACCTCTCTCTCTCTCTTTTGAACAGAGCATCAGACAAATGATATGGATGAAAAGCTGGGTAGCACATTATTACATTCTACTTTTGTGGAGGAAGATGACATATTTTATTAAATCCTACTGCTAGCATGAACACCTCTTGAGGCATCTCCATTCTTTGCAAATGCTAGCACCACACTCGCCCTTAAGTATCACTCACTCTGATTATCAGCATAGTTCAGAAAACATGAAATACAGATTGAAAATGTCCTGCTTCATATAGAAATACACTGTAGAAACTTAAGAAATTGAAGGCTTGGTAATCTGAAACCTGGTGGCAGAACTAAAGAAAGGGCAAAAGTCAGGTGATCATTATGAAGATGTTGATTCAATAATTAATATGTGGATAAAATTAGTTCATACTTAAATTTGCTCCTTCACTGCCTTTAAAAAAAAAAAAGCTTAATATCTATTAGTCGTTCTGAATGCCTTTGTTTCCCTGCCTGTATTGTTTTATCACTCTGCACCCATATCTCTTCTGCTGGTCAATGGTAAATTCCATGGGGAAGAAACTTGTCTTGGCACTGATATTCTAGGATTATGCCTCTTGTTCTGATAATGCCATTTAAATAAGTGAAAATATGTCATATTATAGTATCTGTTATTATAAATTACTATTTGCAGCAGCAGTGGTGAAATCTGAACCGGTTTACTACTGGTTCGCTGCCATACGCAGTGCGCACCATGCACGCCAAAAGGAGGCATGGGGTAAGTAGAACAATGCGCACGGGGGGGGGGGGTGGTCAGCTGTGGCACGTGATTTTTTTTTACTTTTAAAAGCATTTTTTTAAAAACCTATTCGGCAAAATAGGTTGTAAAAAAGTGTTTTAAAAGTAAAAAAAAAAGGCTCTGATGATCGCACGGCTCAGCTGGGATCGTCAAAGCATTTTTTTTACCTTTTAAAAGCATTTTTAAAAGGTGGAAAGCAGATGACCAGGTGATTAGGGGGACATGGGCGGGGGGGGCAGGGATTTTTTCTACTGGTTCTCCGAACCGCCTGCTGCCATCGCTACTGGATCGGTCAATCCAGTCCAAACCGGGAGCATTTCACCCCTGTGCAGAAGTGGAAAACACGGCTTTAAAAAAAAGGAAAGCTATGGTGCTGTCAGGCCTGGAAGCCATCTTTTGTTTTTGGGCCTTCAGACCTCCCAGTTTCCCACAGTTTACACAGAATTTTCATATTTTCACAGAAATCCCCCAGAGATAATGCATTCCTTAACAACTGATGATCATTGTAATAATCCAGAGATCAGATGACAGATTTGATATACAGTACTTGAAAAGGAGCTAAGAGAGAAAGTAGATAAATAAACTGAAGCAAATCAACTCCAGCTATGCTAAGAAAATAAATAATATGCTATCATTCCTATTCCTTTGAAGGATTCATTGTTGAAATTAAGGCAGATAACAATGGGAGAGGTGAAACAGAGATGATAACTTTCTGATTCTAATTAGGTGTTTTGTAATTTCATTAAAGCTTTAAATTAAAAAAAAGTAACAGTTCTAAACTTTTAAAACAGTGCGGAGGCATCCAAATAGACAG